TTGCATCCCTGAAAAGCAAGTCCTTGGAGAATTATCACTATCATTTACATCTATCCATTTGGCAGGTAGTTCTCCATCATAATATTACAGGATAATAAACTGAAGTAGATTAGAATAATCAAATTTTATAGGGCTCTGAAATTCTCTAAGATTTTATACTCGCTGTTTTATGTGCCTCTCCCTCAGATGTTTCCAGAACAGTGAGCCATGCTCAGATTTGAGCACTGTTAATAAAGACAATATATTTAACATATTGCATTTGCAGGTAAGCAGAAGATTTTGCAGGTTGCTGTGAGCTATGCCTGAGAACCTATGAATTCTGTATGCACAAGAAAGGTTTTCCATTGGCCCCTATTCATGTTTACTACTAGAATAATAAGAATCAAAACACAATGACTTATTGTTTCCGCATGGCACAGCAGGGTTAGCAGATTTTGAATGCATTTGTCAAGTGATTAGTCTGCTTGCTTCTAAAAGCTGAACTGCAGATCATAAGCCAGTTGAGTGATTTCAGGCACAAAGCCCAAAAGCTGTTTTTTGTGAGGTATCTTCAAGGGTTGCCCTCATTCTACTTTCAAGGCTATAATTCTTCCGTTGTATTTTATAAGAATCATTGATAATATTTAGATAAGAACATATTCCCTCTTAGAAACATTCTATTTTTGAAAAGCAATTTGAAAAGTTGTTTTTTTCTTGCTAGAGTAACAGAACAGCAAAAAGTTGGCTGATGGAGAATATCCTGACCATTTCACTGTACTGGCTTTTGTGACTTGTGCTTCCTGGGTTTTAATTAGGAACTGATTTTTTTTCATGTTTCATTTTAACTGTACTCTTATTTTCATCTGAGTTGGTATTTGTATACCCCAAGGCATACTGGTCTTTCTTAATGTGTGAATGTAGTATGAAAGAAGCAATATGCAAAAAAGCACATTTCAACATACTGCTTTACATAATCATAGAATGGCCTGGGTTGAAAAGGATCACAGTGCTCATCCAGTTTCAACCTCCCTGCTATGTTCAGGTCACCAACCAGCAGCCCAGGCTGCCCAGAGCCACATCCAGCCTGGCCTTGATTGCCTGCAGGGATGGGGCATCCACAGCCTCCTTGGGCAACCTGTGCCAGTGCCTCACCACCCTCTGTGTGGAAAAACTTCCTCCTAATATCTAACACACAGGGGATGGGTGTCAGGCATCAGCTGGCATAGTGTTAAATATAAAGCAACCTTTATTATGTACTGCTTAGCAGAACATATTTAATCTTAATTTATTTTTTCAGTAACAATGTTGGAGCCCAATTTAGTTACATTTTCTATTTAATTCCCTATTTAAACCCATTCTGCTTGGGTTTAAGTTATGACTGAAGGGGTCTTTATGACTGAAGGCAACATATGCCTGATGTTGCCTCCAGAGCATAAGCAACCAAAAGCTGATTAAACTTAGGGTTGGTATTGTGGCAACAGAAGTTCCTATTCACCTTCCTTAAAAGTTCTACTGTATGTCTGGGGTTATTTCACTGACACACAACATTTTGTGAATCCCTTTTCGGATGGGATTAAGTTATATCTATGTATTTAATTATTCTTGCAGAAGATTATTTTATCATGTAAGTTTTTATTTTTGGAATCGGTGGAAAAACGTTCACTTAAACCAGGCAAATTTTTAGGTGTTTCAGCAACTGGGGACTCTATCCTTCCTTTCAAAATGCATTCTATGAATCAAGAATCAACATTTGTAGAAAAGCCCAGTCAAATACAAGTTTGTAGGATGGAATATATCTGGGCTTAAAGTTTTTCTGATGATAAACTTTGTTTATTGCCAAGCCTCTATGCATGTAGTTTGTGCTTTACATCTTTAGCTTCAAAGTCTGCATAATGCATATGACAGTGACTTATCAAGATAATTGGTGTTTCCTTGATTACTCAGGAGGGCATTCTGCTGCCTGCAGGTAGTGCTCTACAGCTGTGCCACAATCCAAGGAGGTTTGACCTGCAGCATGGCTTGGCAAGCTCTGCTTCAGCAAGCACTTGGCTGCAGTGTTCAACAAATTGCTAGAACCTGGGCAGTAATAACTGTTTAATGTAGCTATAGAGCTAGTGCTAGCATGGGTCTGATTCCAAGGAGGATAATGCAGTGACTGTGCTTGATGTAATGAGTAAAAGTAGACAAAGTGTGTAAAAATATGCCAAACAAGAACCAAGTTCAGCTGAGCCAGTGAGTCTATAGGGGAATTCAAGGTACAGTAGCTTTAGTTACTGTAAGAAATTGAAGCTGGGGCCAGGAACGCTTGCGAGCCAAAAGATGAACTCATCCACAGTATCAGGCTTCAGAATTATTTAAAAGCAGTGAACATCAGCAGTGAGCAGCTCTGAAAGTGCTCTTGGCAGGAGATTCTTTATGAAGGCTTGGCAGAAATCCAGGTCAGGACACAAACTTACAGTCAGCCTAGAAGTGCAGTAAATATAAACTTTCCAATTTGAGAAGTTAAAATAACTTTATGGCTGTGTCACCTCCAGGAGCTACACTTGCACGTTTTTCCTCGGTGAACTTTGAGAAAGACGGAGAATGTGATAGAAGAGGTGGTGGGACGGGGAGCCTGTTGGGATGTCAGGAAGGTATTGGCAGCACATCAAAAACCTGATGGGTTTCAAAGGGGCGGAGAGGGCTACAGCGAAGTGCCTTTGACTTTAGCGTTGTATCTAAAGCGATTGCCAACCATAATTAGCGGAGAATGCAATCATAGCAAATACCGCGCAGATTTTTTCTTCCTTCAAACCACTTTTTTCCTAGTTAAGCTTTAAGAAATACATTGTACGTTTAATGTTAGGAATCGAAACACAGATAAAAGAAATGAAGTCATTCCCAACTTTGTAAAACAGACTTCATTAAGTTTCACATAGTAAATTCAAGCAATCAGCAGAAAAGTGGGAGTTACTGTGGATGAATAGGGGTACGTTCTAAGAGTGCCTTGCTACAAAAAGCATTTAATGACCCCCTTTGTCTTTACTGGAGCAGAAAGAAGAGCCAGAAGGGAGCGTTAAGCTTTTCCATAGTAAGGGTTACATTTGAATAGAGATTTGCCTTAGAAATCTCTTTGTATTCCTCCAGACTATTTGTTTAGCTTACATGTGGTGAGTTCAAAGGATGCTTACATATGAAAAGCAGGTGAATTCTATTTCTCGATCTTCAGTAAGCTTCAGGTATGTAAACTAAGGCAAGGCAGCAGTAGGTGACCAGTTTGCTTCCCAGAGCTGGTGCCTTCTGTGCTTTAGGTCTGTTGCCATTTGTGAAACATGCTGTAGAAGTTCTGTCTCTTTTTGTTCCCTTCTAAATAAAGACAGTTTTTGCCCATTAAGTAGCCACTGATTTGCACAGCAGTTGGTTTGATTTGATGTTGAGTTGCGTGGAGCTTGGTGCAGTGGCTACTGTCCTTGTCCAGTCAAGGGAGCTTGGTGTGCTTAAACATGAACATGAACACACACCATGTTGTATCATGGGGCAGAGGTTGATGCAATATTTACAGCTGGCTGGTTATACTTACCTGTGCTGTGTCTCTTCAGTCAGAATGATGTCCTGATTTCCCCCCCCCCCCCCCCCCCCCCCAAAAAAGGAATTTTTGAGTTGTCTCTAGGTGCCGATGTTCTAGTATTTCTGCTGTTGTTTGAATTTCTGTAGTTCTATTTATGTATGTTTCAGCTTCTGTGTTTGACGCTGACATTGATGGCTATTTAAATCTGAAGTTCGGAAAAGTTCAAGATTTTTACCAGCATTTTGCAATAATATTATGAATTTCTATAGAAATTCTTTACTACTGTGAGGGTGATGAGATGCTGGAACAGGTTGTCCTGAGAGGTTGTGAATGCCCCATCCCTGGAAGTTTTCAATACCTGGATGGGGCTGTGAGCAACCTGGGCTCGCCACCCAGTGGGAGGTGACCCTGCATATAGCAGAGGGTTGGACTTGGATGATCTTACAGGTCCTTTCCAACCCAAACCATTCTATGATTCTGTAGGAATTTATCCTGCAGTTGCTTCAGGCATGTATGTGAGACACATTCTCTCATTTACTTTGGAGTTTTCTAGCACTGTGGATCCAGTTTTTCTGACACATAGCAGCTGTATAAAGTTACTATTTAGCAACAGTAGAATCAGTTGGATTCATGAATGTCATCTGAAATCACAAGAATGAGAAAGTTTTAACTGGTTCGTCATTGCTCTTAGACTTCTGGTTGAGTGAAGTCTTAAGGGTTCTGTGGATTGAGTTAATGAGGCTCAAGAATGGCGCATACACCTGAAGGCTTCAGGAATTGCATTGAACCCACTGAGCTGCTGTGTGCACTGCTGCCTCTATTCCTGCCTCTGTAGAGCTTGGTGTCAGGCTTGAGCAAAGGGCCTCTGTTCAGCCTTATTCTACTGGGGAAGCTCAAAACCTCGTATAAGTGAGGAAGAGAAGGGGTTGGCTCAGGGCGTGAACCTGGAAAGATAATTTATCATCTCATGCTTACCTGACACAAAAAAGTATGGAGCATTTTGCTGTTTTTTACCCATTTCCCCTGTCAGAGAAAGGGAGTGTTTTGGGCTGGTGGTTTTTGTAAAAGTGTGTAGTAATGAAATGCAGTATGGCAACAACAGGAAGACTTTTCTGGTCAGTTGTTTGAAATTATTTCCCAGATAAAGTTTCACTTCTGGCATTGGTCTCCAGTGAATATTTAACAAATGTGAATTCTAAAGTGAAGCAGTAGAGATACTTTCAATAATACCATACATTGCTGTTAGAAATGATTGATGCTTGATTTTTTTTTTTCCCCCACACATTACTTTGCAAACTAAATTTTCAACCATAATTCAAGAAAATAGATTTGCAGATCAGCTCTGCTTTCATCTGCGGGCTGGTTTTATTACTTCAGGTAGTTTCCATTCTGCATATTGAAGTTAATTGCAAAAATTAAGATCATAGGGACAATTTATGTAACTAATTTTTATTGCTTCTGATTCTCTTTGCAGTTGATGAAGATGGTATTAAGGAACTGGGCAGAGTTAGAGTACTTCACAAGAGAACCATAATGCCTTACAGCGTGTACAAGAAGAGGAGGAAGGGGCCGAGCGATGAAGCCAGCGTTCAGCAATATGCAAGTTTGGTTGGACAGACATGTTCAGAAAGAATGTTGTTGTTTAGAAGTTGAGAAACCAATGAGTGACATTTTGATGGCACAACCATCATTGATTGCACTGCCACTGGATGATGTAATGTAGTTGTGTGTTGGTATCCCTACTAAAGTAACAGTACAGATATATAACTGGGCTTGTGTGAATACATGGAACTGTGTTTAAAGACAACTCCAATGAATCTTTTGACAGTACAGCAAGGCTTTAGCAATATCAGCTTAGAAAAACGTGCTTGCAATACATTTTAATTAAATAGTTCTTGCCTTTCTTTGCATTTTGAATAATCTTAAGTATCTAAGCAAAATGAAAAACAGGCTTTTTTTCTGCAGACAAAGGTTGGCTCTATTATCTCTATTAATGAATTTCTATTAATGAGAATTAAATCACAAGTGTTTTCAAATAGCAGCTTGGCTATCTGTTATATAAAATTGCCATTAAATTTGTACTCACATTTAAATGTTCTTAAACTATTGCAAGAGAATTGAGATTTCGTTACTTTCCAATTGGAAACCTGGCATGATTTAATTATATTTCAACACTGTATTTAAAAACAGGAAGAAATTATTTTCATTGCAAATTCTTCAGTTGTTTAATGTAGCAGGTTAGCATCAGAGCATCTACTGAGTATGGAATCACAGTTGATTCTCAGTGGCAGGAGATGCAGCGCTTTGGAAAACCTTCCCTTTCAGAGACAAAACAGAGTAGTTGCACTATAAATTTACCAAAGAGATGCAACCAAGTGTCACGGAGTTCTGTGAGGTTTTATGTTGTTGGTTATTTGTTTTAAGCCTTATCCTTTATCTAGAAAGAGTGGATATTTTAATGCATGGCACTGATGTGCAATAGAGTTTGGGATATTCATCTTACAGCTCTTCAGTGCACGTTTCAGAACTGTGCTAAAAACATGAGGTACCACTGCTGATGATCGTTGCAATTTTTTCAGCAGAGCTGTATGGGGAGAATTGCATATCCTATTCCTTGGTCTTTCTGACTGTTCTGCTTGTGCCACAGTGGCCCACGGGTTATTAACATCTTCAATTGAATATTTATCTTGGAAACAGAAAGATGTGATGTTACCAAAGCACTTTATTGCTGATATACTAATGCTTTCATTAGTGAACTGCATCCGTATCAGGTCATACAGGGGAAATAATATGGTTTTATATTCACCAACAACATTATAACTATCCCAGTGTGTTTGTAATTTGCTTATCTGGGGTGACACGAGCTACTATTTACCGTGAATCAACCTGAAGTTTCCTGTTAACCTTTGAAGAAGGAGAATCTTATTCAAGAAAATATGTATACACGTTTCTTTTTCCCCAGAAGGAAATCAAATTCAACTTTAATCTCTGAAGGTTATGTCTTGTGTCAGTTGTGGGCTTGATTTAATTTTGAACCCTTGGCCAGTGTCATTAATCATTGATTTTTATGTGAAACAGCCACAAGAATGTAGAGATTCAAGTGCGTTGGGGATTTATTTTTCCCCATGTCAGTTTGGTCACTGCAGTATTACAGGTGATGAATGCAGGTTCATCAGTAACCCTAAAATGTGTTAATTGCTATGTATTGTATCAATCTACTGCCACTTTGCAACAGAATTGGTTGTTTCTGCCAGCCTTGTAGCTGGATATACGTGCGTTATCTGGAACAGCGAGGTTTCTGTGTGCTGAACAATCTGTGTCTGCCCACATCTCTCCTAAGCCTACTGCTACAAGACTACTAACTACTATTTATGGCCGTTATAAGGAGTTGTTTACTGTGGGGAAAATACCTCTTACCACTTGGTGAAATGTTGGAACAGTGTAACATTTTCTGCCTATGCTGTGTGTTGAAATGTGGTGATGCCCGTAGAGCTTAAAAACAAAACGGAAACCTGTTTGTTTGATATAAAATCAGTCAAAAGGCACAAAGAAAATCCACTATGATTTTCAAAATGTTAAAGGTAATAAAACTCATTTACTGAAGGATTTGCTGAACCTGGGAGTTCTTTACTGTGAGAGTAGGAGGTGCTGGAACAGCTGACCAGAGAGGCTGTGGATGCCCCGTCCCTGGAGGTGTTCAAGGCCAGGCTGGATGGGGCCCTGGGCAGCCTGGGTTGGTATTAGATATGGAGGTTGGTGGCCCTGCATGTAATGTGGAGGGTTGGAGCTTCATGATCCTTGAGGTCCCTTCCAACCCAAGCCATTCTCTGAATTACAAGGGAGCAGACTTAGGTTAACATCCAGAGCTTGGAAGAGCTCTGTCCCTTGTGCCCACTGTTTATTGCTGATTTGCCTTCCATGGATGTAACAGACTTTTTTTCTGATCCTCTTTTCTCATCAGGAGCTTTTAGGGACTACAGTTAAAGAAAAGTGAGGTATGTACAAAAATGAGAATGGAGTACAACTTGAAGTTGTCGTTAGTGCGACAACAAAATGTAAACGACCATTTCCTGTGAGTTTCTAACATGGTGCTTTCATTTTCTGACCTCCACTGAAACTGCAACAAGATGGGCTTTTGATTCTTATTGATAAAATTTCAAAAAAAGTCAAAATTGAGATGAATTCAGAAATTGAGCTCATCTGAGCTCATGCTGCTATCTGACATGCTTTGTTGGTGTTGCTTTAGAAGGAAGTTAGCACAGTATTTTCCAGGGCTATTTTAGAGGTGGAACAGAGTCCTGAAGATAAAACTCTCTAAGCTTTGGCGTTGATTTCAGTGGAGCTGAAAATTCACCACTACTTTAATTTTACTTAATGAGATTTCACATAGAATTATTAAAGATATTTAATTTAGTACCAAATACTTTATAAGGATTTGTTTTAGTGTAATTCGTTTGTGAGAGTTCATATCTAAAGTAAGGTTGCCTTGTTATCTATTGCTAAATGAGCATAAAATGGTGGTAAGAAAATGCAGAGCTGTGACCAATGCTAAAAAAAAAATCATGCTTTAGTTTAATTGGAAATAAGTGGGGAGCTTATGCATTTCCAGCATCAACACATTTCAGTGAATGCAAAAGAATTCGCATGTTGAGTTTGTAATTGCTTTTCAGCAGACCTGTTTGACTTGTAAGTATAGCAAATAAAGCTATTTCTAGTCTCTGTGAGTTATCATAAATAATTAACAGCTTTGAGTGTGACTTCCATCTTACTTTGTAGGAATTAATTATCCTGGTTGTTGAAAAGCTCCTGGTGAACAGCAAAACTGGAGAAGTCAAAGAGCAGCAGCGATTAGAAGGTGTGCAAATCAATTCAAAATGTTTGCCCATATTTTAGAACTAAATTTTACCTCTATGTAGGCAGTGTAGGTAAGAGTTGACTTGTATGCCTTGAAGCAGAAGCTCTATTTTTTTCCTCTGAGTAGAATAAAATATAGCTGTAGGCTTTTCACGGAAGGAGAGTAAATAGAGCTACTGACTAATTAGGTTATATATACTATTTCCAATAGGCTGAAATAAGCAGCCCAGAAATAGGAATTATGTGCTGTTCTCCGCAACGATGACCAAACACTGATTCATTTTCCTTCTGGATGGGGCAGAATTCCAGCTAACTCTGGGTTCCTGAGTTAGCTTTCATCAAAACGCAGTGCCACCATGGCTCAGAGTTTGGTGTGCCAAGGCATGTAGTGATGCAGTGCATGACGTGCTGCCAGGTCCCTGCATAGTCCTGGGAACAGTTACTTCTCAGTGGGCCTCTCTAGCTGTCACTCTTTTTGAAGCTGAGCCACTCTGCCCGTGTATTCCTGAGTTCCCTCATTCTGCTCATCCCAGATTATCCTTCAGTCATGTGTGATGTGTTCTTCTCTGCAGTCTTTCCTTCCCACTCAAGCCTTCCCATTTGTGTTAACATTTCTCCTCCCTCAGTTGATCTCATTGCAGGGCTGCACTGTGAAGGATGCAGACAGTTCTTAGGACAGAGACCATCCTCACCTTCCAGAAGCACTGCAGCCATGTATTGTACCCACCGTGTTTATAAAGCTGGACCTTCAGAGCTGCTTGCTTATAACATCATATACCGAGCATAAAGAAAAGTCAGATTACATTTCCACTTTTCCCAAATAATTTGTTTTATTCAGTGAGCTGAAGCAGTGGCAGCTTTCCAGGCCTGGACTCTGGCTGCCCTTGGGAGGCACGGCCAGGAGCTGAGCTGACTGCTTGTGGTTCTGGGTGGCAAAGAGGAGCAAAAAGTGTTCAAAGGAGAGCTAGCAGGTAAGTATCCACGTGCTTTGCCTTTATCTGTGAGACAGCTTTGAGTCTGGCTAGAGGAATAAAAGGCACTGTGGGACAATTGTGGAGGTGACACCACCTAATTTAGCAGTAGCTCTTAGCCAAGTGAATGTGGCATCCATAGGCTGAGTATAGGAAATGCATCCTTTTATGAGAGTTTTTAAAAACCCCTGATGACTAAATGGCTGGGCATGAGTGCACTTAGGAAACAGAAGATCAATGAATAGAACTGCAGAAATACGGATCTAGTGCAAAATACACTGTAAAGCCAAAAGCCATTGTTTACAGGGCATGGATGTGTGGTAGTTCTTGCTGCTACAAAGCGTAGTACCCAGGTGGTAGTTGTGATGTGGATTCCTAAATAAGAAATTCTATGAATTAACTTGTTACTATGCTAAGGTCAGCATCTCAGGTTTTTGGGGGCAAAAATCTCATATTTAAGGATTAATTAGGTTGAAATAATTCCTCTGTGCCTGCGTAGGAGCAAAAAAACATTGCTGGATGGAGCTCAAGCACTGAGCTGCTCCTCCCATTGCTTCCCTCCGGGCTGGGGCAGGGAACCAACAGGGCTGTGTTTCCCACTGATGGCAGTTGGTCTGTTTCTCCTGGTCCCTAATGATAGCAGGTCATTATGTTTCTTAGAGGGACTTCTTGCTGGGACTGATATCCTTATCCTTGAAAGCTGCTAATGCCTGGCATTTGATTTTCATACTTCTTATTGCAAGTTCTGCCTTCCTGACTGAAGAACCATGTTTTAGTAAAACATGTTAAGAATAAAAGACGCTGAAACAGTTTTTGTCTCCTCCAAGGCTCTGCAGCCACCAGAGGGCACATTCCTGCTTGTGAAGCACTGATGTTATTCGTTGTCTGACTGCCTGAGCCTTCTGCATCTCTTCTATTAACTCATTTGGAGCTTTGTTTTCTACCCTGCACTAATTGTGGCGTATCAGGGAAAAAGCAGATTCAGGTGGGGCTGACAAAGGTGAATGAAGCAATTTTTTACAACAGCTTTTAGTTATTTTCAAGGCAAGTATTTGAACGTCAGATTTATTAAGTAAGTTATGCTGTGGGTATATATATATGTGTACATATATACTCTGAAACAAAGATCCACGAAATACATAAGGAGGGCCCAGGTGGCAGAGCTGCATCCCTCAAAATGCTTTGGATGCTGTTGTATTGATAAACAGGAACAGGTTGCCCAAGGAGGCTGTGGATGCCCCATCCCTGCAGGCAATCAAGGCCAGGCTGGATGTGGCTCTGGGCAGCCTGGGCTGCAGGTTGGTGACCTGCACACAGCAGGGGGTTGGAACTGGATGAGCACTGTGCTCCTTTTAACCCAGGCCATTCTATGATTCTATGATACATAGTTTCAGACCATGTGCAGTTAGCAGCATTAATGATGCCTCACACAGTATTGACTGAATACATTCTGGCAGCTGCTCTGTACTTCCCAGTGGAACTGCACCAACTAAATCAGTACTTCTCAAGTGAAAAATGCTATCTCCAAAAATGAACCAAGTGTGCTTGGGTGAGGGAGCACTGGAGCAAGTTATCCAGGGAAGTGGTGGAGTCTCCTTCAATGGAGATATTTAAGACCCAGCTGGATGCCAAACTGTGTGAGCTGTTTTAGGGAGTCTGCTTTAGCAGGACTGGACTTGGTGTTCTCTGGAGATCCCTTCCAACCCCTGCCATTCGTGTGATTCTGTCTGCATGCTCACATCTTCTGGGCCAGGACAGATTGTGTATTGCACTCATCCACAGCTAACTCAGCAGCTGCACTTCAGTTCATAATATCTTGTCAGTGGTCTTGCTAATGCCTTCTCTTTTCAGAAGCTGACTTTTAATAATATATATGTGTATATTAATATATATGTATTTTAAAAAGGGATTACTGCTCAGTTCACGCCTGCCCCAAAATTCACACAAATTAATCTCTTTGTCAGCAAGGTTTTGGCAAGGTTTTCAGGGTGTTGATTGTGAAAGCCAGAACAAATTTTCATTATTTTTCTTTCTTCCTTATGCCTCTTCTTTTTAACCTAAGTTGTTTTCATGTCAGAATTTCTTTCTCACCTAAGCAGGGAATGAAATGTTGCCAAAATAAGGTTTCTATTAACACAGTGAACTTAGAGGTCAGGAGACTGCAATGCTTCTCTTCACTGCCAAGGGCACTGCAACCCATTTGTTTTGTGAATATGATACTTGTCTCTATTGCTCAAGATTAAAGCAAAGACAGAGCAGTTGAAGAAGAAAAGAAAAAAAAAAAAAAAAAAGCTCCAAATTTTATTTATTATTCCTCATACATACAAATTATTCTGGTGCCCAGAAACTTGGAAAGCTAAGCAGTGACAGCTGCTTCATGTGTCCTCAAACTGAGATTGTCCGCAACCCCGACATTTTTGCAGTCCCTAAAATCCCAGATGCAAAGGCTCCTTTCTAAGCTGCCTTTGGTGCAGTCACTTGGACAAGGAAGAAGGGTTAGAATTTTGTAAGTTCTGGAAATCAGACCTGGTTATTTACACTTGAGATTTGGAGGCCTAGTTGAAATTGAGTACGTAGCTGACACTCAGACCCTTCAGCATCATTAGCAGTGCCACCATTGGGAAGCCTGCCAGAGAGTTCAGTAGGACCAAAGTCTAAGCAGCCTTCTGCAAATTCAGGAGTGAACTGTTCATGCAAGAGCTGAATAATGCTTTTCTTTCACTAAAGTGGCATATAATCTTCAGTTACTTCAGTCTGCCACTGACCCAGCTCCAGCTT